TTTGCGCGCAGCAAGCTCTAGAAATGATGAAAGAACATGTTGTTGAAGATACTAATAATCCTTGGATTGCCATTACCTTAGCAGTTGTTGGTCTCTGCTTTTTTTAAAGCTGGAAGACTTGAAGAAGCAAAGAAAAATCTTTTGAAGGCTTTGGACATAATCAGAAGATTGTTTTCAGAAAACCATCCATGGTTAGTTGAAGTTTACCAGCTGCTTTACATAATGTATAAAGAAGATGGAAAGTTGTAGTAGGCTGAATATTTTAGTAAAAAAATGAAGATAGCTTCTGAGATAAACGTTTTAGCCAAGAAAATACAAGTGACAAATGATTTAAGTTGGAAAAATCCCAGAGATATTTTGTTTGGCAAAAATGAGGCAGATATTACATTGGTTTGATGGTTGTATTTCCACGTAGTTGGTTTGTAATAACTGCAGAAAATAAACTTTGGACAATTCCATACATCAGATTGTAACATGAAAAAATTTTGAACATTATGTGAATTGAAGAAGGAGAAAATAATCAATTTAAGAAGGGATGTAGTTTTATACAACTTTTTTACAACTTTGCATTACATGCATACTTGCAAATGTGTGTTTCAACTCAGATTGACGATGTTTCGATGTCTTTTAAAATACGATGGAAAAATTTTCTATGACACCTAAAATGTTTTTTAGTGTAACGACGTCCATTTCCGTTGAACAAGCGATAAAAATGCAGGACGATAAGACAATATCAGGATTATTGACTCGGTGATAGATTAGCTAAGTCTTATCAACAATTTTACGGTCTTGTGTTATAATGTTATCATTTGCTGGGAAAATGATAACCATTGATAGGTTGAGGTTGCTTTGACAATGCCGTGCTTGGTCGCTGACGTTGCCTGAGAGATATCTTGGATTCTCTTATTACTTTTTCAAATATTTTTCAAATAATTTTCTTTTATATGAAAAATAGTAAATTTATAGTAGTTATAGGACATTTATAGGACAATAATTTGTCAATTAAGTATTGAATACAACAAAAGATTTTTATGAATTGAACATCCTTCATAAGTTTATTGCTATTTTGAAATCATATCAAAGTTGAGAAAAAAATTCCTGTTTGTTCCAGTTGCTTAGTCATTGTATTGATATTCATTGCATTGTCTTCATTTTCATTTCCATTCGCAACAACATCACAACAACTCTGAATAGAAAGCAGACACACATGCAGGGAAGTGCTAGAATGCTAATTGGGGGGTGTATATTCATATATTCAGTCGTGGGCGAGTAGTTTCTTTTATAAAGCGATTTGGTTTTCTAAGGACGTCAGTTGGGCACAGTTGAATATATGAATATAAGCCCCCCAATTAGTGTTCTAGCGCCGTCCGTGCAGACACAACCCTCCATACAAGAGCAGCGTCAGCACTGGCCTTCCAATTACGGTATGTGAAAGCTTTCTTAAATTAACCTTGGTGACAATAGTATTATATTGTTAAGGGTTGGTGAGTTATTTCTTGTTGTTGTGAGTTAACATGATTTTGTTACACTAAAACTTAGTAATGCACTTTTAATTTTTAAACAGGTGCCATGCATATCTCAAAGAATTAATCATCTGTACCTGCATTGACTGAAGATGAAGCTGGCGTACTGTTTAACGAAGGAGAACATTTTTTATGAGGATGTGTTTCATTTACTTGAAATTATCAGTCCAGATTGCTTGTATTCGATATATCGTTTACGATTCAAGGGAAGAGAAAGAGTTTGGCGAAAATATTGAAATTGATCCCTAAATTTCTTCTGAGGAACATCCTAAAGGACATACTCCAGCACCGGGAACGACTAATAAACATTTTTCCAGCTCGTAAAAGATATTGAACAAACCAGCTTAACAAAAGCACTTTTTAGGCTTCGTCCAGATGAAATGTCTAGGAAGCAAGTTCCTCTAGAAATAATTGGGAAGGGCAAACCTAACAGCAACATAAAATTTTAACAAAAAATGTAGGAAAACATGCCTTAAAAGCAAAATATAATTTCCTGTTTGAGGATTAGAGCAAGATGAAATGTGCTCTGTAGGATATAGTTTCTCAAAAATTAGACAAAATGATCTTATTTCTGCTTCGACGAGCTCCACAAGTGATCATGGTTTAGCAGTTTTAAGGAAGATCTATCTTTGCGAAATTATTAAGCCATATTATCATGCATGCACTTTTATTTCGCTCATTGGCAATCTGTGGATGTAATTTTGTTCTAATTTAGGCAGTCTATTTTATTTTGGGTTACAATGATGACGAGGACGGGACACAGAAGCACCGAAAACGGATGTTCACAAGTACCAATGTTTAGTAAAAGACGAAAGAAAAAACCCTGTTCTAACTCATACAATATATAGTTAACTTACTTAAGCACATGGTAAAAAGCATGCCAACCAGTGGCATAAGTTTGAACCAGCCTGCCTGTGGTTATTCCAGGATGGGGTCCTTCAAGGTAAAGGACAAGTGAAGTGTATGCATGAATGTAATATATCAAAGTCAATTTATGCGAGAGTGTGATGCGATATATGTCAATATGGTAAGCAGATTGATGCTTCTAAAATTGTTCTTGCCGAGGGACTTTTAGCTATGATTTCTTTAGTGCTTGGGGAGTCGTAGCCGTTATATGGCAGCGAAATCCTACATTCCTGCAAATATATTTCAATGGACAAAAAATCTGTAGCCATAAGGCGCCATACTATAATTTACTTTATCATAAACAAAAAATGTTTGGGGCTTTTCAGTTTATGATCATTGATCAAACATTGGACAGTTATATTATATCTTGTTTAAGATTTGAGAAAACTAACATTGATTACATGAGAAGCTGTTTACTATAACCTGTGATTTTGAGTCTTCTGATCCATGAAGCTTTTTATTTTGATAATTTAACCGGAATGGTATTAAACCTGAGTATTTCACATACATGAAATGTTGTCCCATGTCAAATATTGTCCCCTTTTCTAACTGAACACCTCATGTAGAGATGTAAAGTTGTGTTAATCGACGGCTCATACCAGATTGTTTGCCATAAATTCCAAAGGGCTGTTGATATATGAAAAGCATTTTCTATAAAGTAAAAATGTCTTTCTATGTATGCAGATAAACCTTGAAATTTGGCAAAACAGCAAAGTATTTTTCATGATCACTAGGTAATTTTTCTGATGCTCATTATAATTTCTAAACTAAATTATTTTAGATTTACATTTAAAGAGCTTTCATCATATGAAAAGATATTTATCATAACCAGTAAGCATGACACATGAACCAATTTTAACGCTCTTGTAATTATATAATTAAAGACATGTTGGTAACATTCTGTTTGTATTTGCAAATACAATGCTACTAGTGATTGCTATATAGAACACCTTGGAGAAGATAATAGTCTAGTGAAATGCCTAATAAATATTTGTGGCATTAAGCTGTCCTTAACTGCAAATTTTCACTCTGATAATTTTTGCTTAATCTTTGGCAGAAAAAAATTTTGAGTTTTTTCTCAAAAGGTGAATTTGCTGGCACTGATGTGGAGATGGGTAAAGGGTTACAATAAACTTGCATGGTTTGAAGTCTGAGCTTTTCTATGTCTATGAACTGTCACTTGTAGTACCAAATTTCTAACTTAACTCATTACATAGAGGTTTGAATGGGCGTCTCTAGGGGGGTCTATGCCTGACAACTTGGTAGAAATTTTTAAAGACTATATCTCTTTTTTTAATAGCATTATTGTAAAATAAATTTTACGTTCCTAGACATGCTAATGAGCCCTATATATGGCATGATAATGAGCCTAAATATTTGGCAAAACATTCAAGTATTGTTCACTTCATTTTTTTTTAACAAAACGCATGCAAAATGTGTTGTTTTTACGCAAAAACGATGCCCACAAAATTTTTTTTTTTGAACAAAACGCATGAAAATTTGTTGTTTTTACGCAAAAACGATGCCCACAAAATACATTTTTTGTTGCTCTAAAACGTTGAAAGTGGCATTTTCAAGGCTCTGAAATTCAAAATTTCTCAGGGGTGAATTTCTCAGACCCGCCCAGGTGCGGACAGCCTCCGACGTTTTATGACTGCTGTTTGAAAAATCCTAGATCCGCCCCTGCTCAAGAAGGCTAATTTAAGCCATTCCATTGGTTAATAGCCAGATCAGTGGACGGTCTGGAATAATCTCGACCGATAAGCGGGGTGGCCGGACAGATAAGAGAGTCCAATTGCTATCGTATAGTTGCTTCGTTAACTCGAAAGCACATCAGGGCAAAAACATCTTTATATTTCTTTTACAAAATAACAATAATGTGATAAAGATAAATTCAAAGCAAAGGTTTTAATATTTCCTCTAATATGTATTCATGATTGATCAGCAAATACTCTTTGATTGATTTAACTGATGAGGCTCAGCTATCAACCAATCAACACAGGCGTTTTATTGTTTTTATTTTATATAATGCAAATTTGTCAGTTGTCATTCGGGGAAGAAAGGAAAACGAATTTTATTTATTTCTTTCACTATTATATTAAAGTGTAATGAATAAGGTGTGTTTTGAGGAGAACACACTGAAACTAAGATGGAAACCATTTTTACGTAATTAACTATTATAGAATATAAGATTGCTAGTTGAATTTTCAGGCTTGCATTAGCTAGTTCTTGTGGAAACGACCGCATGTAGTGCTCCTGTCATTACGAATAATTTATGTATGGAAAAGTTTATCGTGACTTGACACTCTGCACTTGAAGACTATTTAAGTTTTATAAGATATGCTAAGTCTATATGTCAAGGAAATGCTAAATACAAATGAGAGGACATAATTTCGGAGAGTTTAGATCAAATGGGTGAACTACAAATGTAAAAACAGCTGTCCATTTACTGAAATCCACTGTTTTTAATTAAAAATGTTTGTTGTAGCGACAGTTGCTAGTAGCATAACTAATTATTTGCCAACGAATATGATTCGTTCAATTTCATCAATATTCCTTCTATCTTAGATAGCAACCTGCAGTGTTTGACTGCGACTCTACGTCTGCTATGATAAGGAGCTTCACAAATTCTAAAAGCAATCGCATTGAAACAGATACCATCATTTTTCTGATTTGAACAAACTCTTCACTTCGCTCGACACAGGTACGTCTGATTTGCACGAATTTTGCCATATTTAAGTATAGACGTTTGTTCAAAGAAAAATTTTTTAATTGTTTGGTTTCTGATGTCTTGCGACATTGCCAAAGTGATTCTTGTTGCTCTTATGATAGCTACTAAGTTCGTCTATTCTCACAGGATAAGATTCGTACCGTTTTAAATGTCACTATTTTCAGACATGGGATTTCTAGAGAAAAATTGCTGTGATGTGAGTCATAACAAGTCCCTGTTAGTGTTATATATTTTTTATCAACCGAAACTTGTACTCAACCCTCTAAGGGCCATATGTAGTGAAACGCATCATAATGTAACTACTCTATGCGGTCTGCGTTAAAGAACTCGAGATTGACAAACTTTTAGGCGGACACACATAATGTGTGTAGCTTCGTGTTGTGACTCTCTTGGGGCCAGATGTTTTCTCAATTAAGTTTCATTTCGTAATTTCGTTTTCGCAAGCAATGGCCACTAACAGGTTGAATTGTTCGCCATGGCAGTTACTAAATGAAAAATGCAGACATGCGAACAAATAGAGATTTGGGAAAAAGGAAGACTGATCAAAATGAAACCTTGTAAGGGTGTCGTTTTACAGTGTATTAAGGAATAAAGTAATTGAGGAGCATTCTTGATGTTTCTTATGTGGCCACAACACCTGACTTGTCAATTGTCACAATAACTGTAGAAAACATACAGAGCCAAATTTAATGTCCTCTAAGGGGGCGCAACAAGGCCTAAAATTGTATAGTTTTTCGCCTATTTCAATCAATTTTCTTGGCTTTCTCCCACAGACAGGAATCGTTACTGGCATTGCATCTTATTATTAATCCAAGCTTAATAATATTATTTGTGGGTATCCTGCTTACAGGCTAACCACAATGTTATACTAAAAAATGTCCAGATGTCCAGGTGCTAGGACGGCAATTCACGAATTGACACGACTACATGACGATGGTGCGTTAAGGAAAATATTCGAAAGTATGAAATTAAGGAAATTCGTTAAATTTTACTGGCAATAGTTGAAATAAACATCTCAAAATATGATACAGGTATACTAAAGATTAGTATTAATACTGAACATCAATCATCTACAATACAAGACCTCCCGTAGGATTAAAAATAGAAATATAATTGTATAAGATTCTGTTGTGAAGATTCTCTATTGAAGAGAAAAAAAATTAATTTTTTGTTAAAATTTTTGAGATTTCTTGAGGACGTCGCTATTCTTGTTATAGTGGCAAGCCTACTTAGCAGGTCTATTGAGTTATTGACTGAAGCCTGCCTCTCAAACAGACGTCCGACTTGTTTCAGTCGTTTAAGTCGGTCGTCCATAGAGCGCGAGCTAATAAACTAGGAAGACGGACTTTTAGTTGGTGGTTATTGGAGACAAAATTATCATTTTTGTTGATAAATGATCTATAATATTTATGTAATCATTACAAAAATATGACCGTTGGACTTCTCTAGTGATTTCTCATGTAGTTAATTAAATATTAGTCATTTACGCCATTCGCGTACCTATTTTTAATTTTCTAGTGGTAGCGCAGTCATCGGTAGAGTGTAATCAAAATGCAAAGGCTAACATAAAGTATCGAGACTCAATAATAGTGCGGCATGTACTGCAAATTCCATTAGTTCAAAGGTGAAGGGGGTGCAAAATCTGCTTTGGCCCTGTAATAGTATTTAATGCTAGATTTTGAGTTCAATTATACATCGGTTTCTTAGTATATATCGTGCGCGTGCTAAATAACTCTATCTAGAATTCATCTCTCACAAGGAGGTCACGTGGAGTGACATTGACATGCAACATCTTCCGTTTTATCAATAACATAACGTAGTTATAATATATGTGCTATAGTGCTGTTTTCAAGCAAGGTCTGTTTACTTTCGCGACATATTGTAGTCTGCGTATCGTGATGGAGTACGTTGGGGTCGGCCGTATCGGGATGATTGATGAGGTGCTGATGACTTTTCGGGATTAGGTTCTGACAACGTTTGCAGGTCATCATAGTTGGTCTTGACTTTGAATGGTTCTTTTGTTGGTAGGAGGTGACGCCTGTTCCTACGGACCACGTGCCCCTTTTCATTCATGACGAGGTGTGCTCTAGGTTCCTTACACTTCTTGACTACTTGTCCAGTTTGTGCCCAGCTGTTGTCGTTGTTAGTTCGAATTCAGGCAGTGGTGCTCGGCTCAATATTTGATAGGTCTCGGGCAGGATAATTATACGCTGCCTTGACGTAGGAGTTGGAGGGAGTGACATTGATTGTTTAACCTTTTGCTGCGGGAAGGGTTGTGCGTGGGTTCCTGTGATTTGGAGGCATGGGAACTGCCATCATTTGCTGGTGTTGTATTCAATATTAGTAGTGAGAGAAATGGATCATTCTTAGCTTCCTGGGCTTTCTTCATTGTTTGCTTGACTGTTTGGATAGATCGTTCAACGCGACCATTTGATTGAGGGAAGTGAGGACTTGAGTTGTCATGTCGAATGTCCCATTCTCGAGCAAATTGTTTAAAGGATGAGGCACTGTATTGAGGGCCATTATCGCTGACAACAATTTGTGGTATTCCATGTCGGCTGAAGATATTTTTTATGGCACGTACAACTGAAGGAGAATCCACTGGCCTTGGTATGTGAGCTACCTCGATAAATTTTGTGTGATAGTCAGTAACTATGACGCACTCTCGGTTGTAGGGTGTAAAAAGATCTGTGCCAACTTTTACCCAAGGTTGGTTTGGGACTTGATGTGGGATCAATGTCTCCCTTTGATGTCGATTACGATGATTGATGCATGTGGCACATTGAGATACGAGGACAGCTAACTCATGGTTCATCCCTGGCCAATACACGGCATGACGGGCCCGGTTTTTGCATTTTTCGATTCCTTGATGCCCTTGATGTATAATCTCTCGGATTTCACGACGCATCGAGGTAGGTATGATAATTTGCTGTCCTTTTAGAAGGAGGTCGTTGTTGTACACGATTTCATGACGTTGGTCATAGAATGGTTTTACAGTGTTGTTAATTTCGGCTTTGGATGGCCAACCATTGATTGTGCACTGCTTTAAGATCTGTAGATCTGGATCGATCCGCGTTTCACGTTGCAATTGTGAAAGTCTTGATTCGCTAATTGGAAGTGTATTGATAACCGAATGGACGTGATGAGCCATTTCCTTTGGATCGATCTCTGGTTTACTGTTGAGAGATGCTCGACTGAGCGCATCAGCTACTTTCATGGTTTTACCAGGTGCATATTCAAACGTGAAGTCGTATTTTTTCAAGCGTAGAAAAAATCGTTGTATTCGTGGGGGACATTGCACAATGCTTTTGGAGAAAACTGCTTTTAATGGTTGGTGATCATTTTGAACCACAAATGCACGACCATAAAGGTATTCATGGAATCTTTCACATCCAAAAACGACGGACAGGGTTTCGCCCTCTATTTGTGCATAGTTTTGTTCAGACTAATCTAACGCTCTGGAGGTAAATGCAACGGGATGCCAGGTGCTGTTTATACACTGCTCTAGCATTGCACCTAGACCAACTGAACTGGAGTCTGTTCGCATGCGAATTGGGAGGTTTGGGTCATAAAATTGCAGAACCGGTACAGAAGATATGTGGCGCTTGAGTTTCTCAAAGGAGTCAAGTTGAGGCTTTTGCATGACGAATTCGGTATCATTCTTTAAGATGGCTCTGAGTGGTGCTGTTTCGTCTGACAAGTTAGGAATAAATTTTCCTAGATAGTTCACCATGCTCATAAATCGCTGGAGCTCAACTTTTGTAGTTGGAATCGGCATTCGAGTGATTGCCTCAACTTTTTTGGGGTCCGGCTTCACTCCATCTGTTGACATGACATAACCAAGAAATGTTAATTCAGTTGCACCAAAGATGCATTTCGACTGGTTCAATTTCAGTCCACTTTCTTTGATCTGAGCAAGGACTTTCTGTAAGCACTGATCATGGATTTCTTTAGTTTCCCCCAAACAATTATATCATCCTGAGAGTTGGCACAACCTTCGCAGCCAGCAATGATCTTGGAGGTTTCAAGTTGGAAAATCTCTAAGGATTTATTTTGCGAAGAGATGTCGTTTCTACTTCTTTTCTATATTAGGCCTGTTTCAAACGTCGAACTCATTAAAGTCTTATGAATGAGTGTTCTAGGTAAAATATGCAATGTTTCTGTCCAACGCAATTTTTATAAGCTTTGAGAGTGGGTGTTATAAGAATGTTTATGCCAATCTCAACTTGTTGAAATTGCAACTCTTATTAAATGATGTGCTTTTATAAATTTGTGCAACCATGTAAAGCATTTACTCTGTGTGAGGTTGAATTGATACCAGAGTAACTATACAAAGTACCAACAAGTACGACTTGAAGGCACAAAAGCATGTAAGATTGCGTGCAGGAATTTTTGCGCATTTCATACAATTAAATACAATATATAGAAGCTAGAAGTTCTTTATATCAACTAATTAATCTGTTGCACAAAGGCAACGTGTGTGTTCAATTATTTTTTGTATTGCAATAGGATCAAGATAAAATAACTTTTTCAAAGAAAATTTCAATAGTTTAAAGAGTAGGTGTAATATAAAAATGTTAAAACTTCTGCTGATTCGTTAAAAATAGAGCACAAAAATGTTGTAATTTTATATACGTGCATTATTGCCTTCATATACCTGGTAAGGAAATCGGTTCGTGTAAAGTAGTTTGATGGTAGCATCAGTGATAGTCAAATCGACACGCTAGTATTAATATTTCTAGCTAAATCTGAACCTTCTGTGGCTTTTGATTACGACCACACGTCTAATTGGGGAAGACATTTCTACAAATTCCGTTCTTGTCGAAATAAACAGCATCTTTTTTACAAGATTTGCAAAGTTATCACGACTTTATCACGTGAACAATTTCTTTCTTCCCAGTGACAGAGCGTGTCATGAAAATAATTATGTGCATAAATTATACATAGAATGAATAAGAACATTTGCTCGTGGAACAATATTTGTTGATAGTTTTACATTACATGTGGGAAAATGATGAACTATAACCGTTACACATAAGTACACCAAAATCCATCTTTAAAATAGCCAAAACTCTGACAATTATAGGTCTTATGACATCTATTCTCGATCAGAAACATTTCAAATCATTCTATTTTAACCGATACCATTTCAAAAGAAACTATTTAAAATATGCGATTTCAATAAATACTTTCTTAAATTACTGTTGCCTTTTAGCTTTTTCAGTATGCTATTTTGAAAAAATATTATAGTTATAAACAATTATTTTGAATAATACATTTTTGAAAAACGTATTTCCTAAACTTGCAAATGCGATGAGTTGACATAACATTCATGGTTGTGTGATGGTTGGCTCCGTTGTAGCAACCTTTTCCATTGCGGTGATTGAAAACACGGTCTTTTAAATTACTCCAACTTAATTAACAAAAAAAAGGAAACTTTTTTGATATAACACCTTTTTGATTAAAGAAAGATTATCATGTCAATATTTTACCATACTTTAATCAGTCAACATGTATAGGACTTAGAATAAACTGCTCTTTCACTACTAACCTTGCACAGAACAATCAAACCTACTTTGTACTTTAATACTAAAAACAATGTTATTTTTTCCTATCGCTGTTAATTTCTCAATTATGTATTAAGCCATATTGAGCCGTATTTCGCACTTCTTTATTATTTCGCGCTGTTTTTTTGTAGCATGTGCATTTCAGCAACAGAATTTGAGTTGAATTATGACCAATTTTTGCGAGATGAAGACTATGTATTGTAAACAATTTGCCGTTATAAAGCAGTTTGAGACTACTCTTATTTAAACCAAATTCAACCTCCCAATCGATACGTCCGTATACTTTCGTATAAACAGACAGTATAGCTACAGGCAATTTTATACACTGCATGCAATTTTTGTTAGATCGTGTTATTTTTAATGTTATTGTTGTCATAGTATTTTGGTACTACCGCACTGTCTATATTGCCGACGATTCTTTGTGTCGATCAAAGGTGAAAGGCTTTTTACTTTAGCAAGTGTTTCTTATCGTATCGATTTTTGCATATAAAAAAAATATGCAAAAGCTAGAAGGTATTTCATATTGATCACGCGTGTGTTCCAGCATTCTTCGTATTTGCTGTACTTTGAACGCAGCCGAATCAACGTGAAATTGTTATGCAATTTTCATAAGTTTAGAAAGTGGTAAATTGAAATTTCCACTGTTCAAATTTCCACAGTAATTTCAAATTTCCACAGTAATTAGAAAACTCCTTTCGGTTTTATTATAATCAGAACCGAAAGTCATTGTTATTTTATGTAGCACAAGGAATTTGTCGTGAAAGGTAGCTGGTTATTTGCTAGCAGCAGTGATATTCGCAGTGACATTCGAAACACCAGTAAGTAATCTTTGCCTCAATGAGTTACTCAATATTTTCTTAAAATTCCATGCAAAATTAGAACCTGCTGTGGCTTTTGATTGCAAATTTGCCAGGGACTACGACTATCAAAAATAGCCTGAGTTGAGACTAACAAGATCAGTTTGATGAGACTCGCAGAAGTATCGGGAGACGTTATCGTGTGAACAATCGTATATCTTCAGTCTTTACAGGTGTGTAATAAGAATAATGATGTACATACGTATTTGTTAAATGGATGAAAATATGGAAAAATAACTTACGAACCGTTTAATGGACATCAAAAACTTTATCTTTAACAATACCGCACCTTTTTATGTCGATCATAAACATGGTATTGTCAGTCAATTCCTGTTATATTATCTGCTAAGATCCATTTCAATTTCAAATGAAATATTTTGTATTTTCAAAGAGTGGAGTTATTTAGAACATGCCGTTTCAACATGTCTGTTTGAGAACATGCAATTTCATTTTATGATAATTTAAAACTAATATTTGGAACCTTGCTATTTTGAAATAAATGTTTTAAGATTTTAGTTAGTAAAATCAACAGGTTTTTTATCTACAAATACCTCATACTTTATTCCGTAGAGCATAGATCAAATTTATATTTACATAGACAGAATATAGGTGCAACTGACTAACAAACCGTTCAACATAGGCATCTAATAGTTTATTAGCAATATTGCTAAAGTGACTCTAATAGATCATTTCGTATGATACCAGGTCAGTCCATTCATGATGGTTCTTGGTTAGTAAGCTTAGATTATACTATTTCAAATCACACTATTTTAAGAGATGCAAATTCTAAAGGCGCTTGCAATATATCAATTTAATACATTTAGGCATTAAGACAATTCAAGCATTTAATGAGAACTCTCTGAAAGAATGCTATGTAAATTCACAATTCTTCGAACACACGTGTTTTGAAATCATGATATTTTTAAAAAACATTTTTTCAAAAAGTTTTCGTGAAAGATTCTATTCGTGTCCATCCTTAATCAAATAACGATTGTTTTTGAGAAAAAATAGACTGAAAATTAGAATGGGAGCAAATTTGGCGTAATAAATTGATAAAGATTCCGCTGGAATTCGGGTGCATAAAATGTTTTCAAAATGTAATGCTATGTCACAAAAATGCTAATGATAGAATGAGCGTGATTTCTGTGTCCATAAAATGTTAACGTTGTATAGGAATGTAAAGACTCGTGTCTTTTACTTGAAATTTAAATATTTGAATAAGATGTTATAATTAATTCATTTTTTGCTTGATAGCAACAGTATTGTAGTCAAAACTAAACATCACTAATGATTGGCAAAGAATGAGATGTATCCAATTTTGTTAATATTCCATTTTAAATGGCTCCCTACTGTGTTTTTTATTCTATTTTAAATGGCTACCTGCTATGTTTTTAATGCTACTCTATACATATATTTTAGGGAAGGGATTCATTATTTAATAATAAAACTGGTCGCTTTGAGACAGGCAGCATCACTTTCAAGACTTCGTGAAAGGTAGTGGGAAAATTTCTGACGCGAACACACTCTTTACTCAAGTCCAATAGGCGAGTTTCTTGTACATTACTTTTAATTCCTTTGAATAAAGACGTCTGTTCAACGAACAACTATTACTGACAGTTTGGTGACTGATAAATTTTTGAAAACTCGCTTGAAAACTGTTCTAAATGAAGTTTTTACAAGTTCATTTACGACTTTGCTTAAGTTATGTGTAGATAACTCAGTCAGATTTTTCTAAATTGCTCATCGGGAATAAGATCGTTCCATTTCAAATAACTTTTTTATAAGAGGTATGATTTTTGATATAAGAATTTAGAATATTCCATTTGAATGGAGAATACTTTGGAACATGCTGTTTTCTGTTGTTTTGCCGCTCCAATAAAAGCATTTTAACGACGCCGAGAAATTATGCTACATTTTGTAATAATTTATTAATTTCCGGAAGTGATTTTTCATCCAAAATATCTCATAAAATACTTTACTTTTTGCAGAAAAAAATCACACCAGTAGAAAGTCCACAATATATGCTTTCTGCTAATACAATCTTTATTAATTAAACCTATAAAATAACGAGTAAAATTGCTGTTTCTATGCCATCAACATTATGCATAAATCATAACGCAATAAAACACTTACCCCAAGTTGATAAGAATTTTAGAGTTTAATATTGTAGATATGGCAAAACAGAGAAAACCGTAGTAAAATTCATTCATTTTTCTATAGTTAGATGAAATTTCAGCTTTTCACAATAAAAATTACTAATGTTTTGAGATATCAGTAAATATTCCTTCTGGAATGTTTTTTAAAGCGGAACGCATTTTGCCATGGCGATACATTCATAATTAAAATACCATCGCTCAAACAGTCTTTGATTTTATGATAACAAATGATGCTGAGTCGATTCTCGATGGCTTGAGACGCTTGAGACTCTAAGGATGTATTGCACCGGTGATATTGATGCTCAAAATTTGCCAATCGTCTTTCTAATCATTATTGATCATATGTCTCCTTCGCTATGCTGACAATAGCCCTCATATAAGGTTAAATATTCATCATATGCACACGCTGATAGGCTGGAACGAAAGCTCTCAAAATAAATGAATATTGACTATAATAAGTTGAAATACAATATTCAAAAATTTGAAGGGATGCTCGTTTGTGTGTTTACGTTTAGTTAAAGGCTAATATTATGTGTGAAATTTAGTACTACATGCATGAAAGTTTGATAGCTATATGGTTTTAAATTAATATAATCATTGATGAAAAATCGCCTTGCTTCCTGGAAGCATTTAGGGTGTCATTAGCTTATGCAAAGATATCGGTAATGTTGCAATTCATTCATTTTTTGACACAAGCATGCATTTAATTTTTTTTAACAGTCCATGTTGAATAGCAAACTGTTTCTTGAAATGACGACTCTACGTCTTATTTGGGGAGGAACTTCACGAATCGTGAAACCGTTTGCTTTGAAATTCGTACGATCATTTTGTCATGGCTTGCAGAGGCATCGTGGAAAATTTCTTGTAGGAATAACAATCACTTCACTCCAGTCGACAGAGGTGCGTTTTAAAAATTTTATGCACGTGTATATTACTATAGATGAATCAGGAGAATGGCTCATGAACAGCTATTGTTGATAGGATGGTATCTCAACACGAAAAGGAGTAAGAGTTCTTCACAAAAGCTTTGTTCGTTTTAGTAACTGTAAAATCTTAAAAATGGTTTATCTCTAGTCTCACTTTTCCACGAGGGTCAGTCTTCACTCACTTATTCATTCACACACATGTATTATATCATTTTAGACTTTTCTCATTCTTCTAATTGCACTTCTCTTAAGTACCATTCTACTTCTTCCCTTCTCATTATACGGATCACAATGTTATCTGGAAGTTATCTTAGGCGTGCGTTTATTTCAAGTATAACATACACATAGAGTATACATCCAAACAATTGAGGAAAGCCCAATCATTTTCTTTGTGATATCTTACGCCCCTCGCAATTTCTCCTTTGTACAATACTTAAATCACTGCGCAAATTGAAACAAGTTTTGTTAAATGATAGGGTGCCCCAGCGTCTATTGCTGCCGATCTGCTGATTTAGAGCTATAAACAAAAAATTAAAGACTGGTGGGAAAATCTTAAAATAACTGAATTATACTGCATAATAACTTTTAATACAGATTTCAAACCTCAAAAGGGATTCAACAGAAAAGAAAATCAACATATTGTCTTTTGATGGTGGAGGAAGTCGAGGTGTGATGGAAATAAAAATTCTGGACGACGTTTTGCGACTTGCGACAATCGTTTTGAGAAATCCTGAGACGCTTAACTACCTTACAAACAAAGATAATGATGAAAGCATAGTGAATCTCTTAGAAGGTCGTGCCGTTCGAGAACGTTTGATCAAGGATATGGAAGCAGTTGAAGATCCCATTCATCCCACAGATGTTTACGATATGATAGTTGGTACCAGTATAGGAGGTTTAATTGCATTTAGTTTAGTTGGTGGAAATAAAGTTGGGAATGATCACCATGCAAGGGAACGGATGACTATAAATGAGTGCATTCAAATATATCACGCAAAAGCTAAAGACATATTCAGAAAGTCATGGCTACAATGGCTTATTTCACCTGCATCTTGGTTTTTCAATATTCCACTGGTAGCATATTCGAAAGATAACGTGGAGAAAATTCTGCATGAACAATTTGGTGATTGCTACCTAAGTGATTTTAGTGGAGAGGATCTTTCTAAACCCGTGGCTGGAGTTGTTGCGAGAAGACTTGGAAAAAAAGAAGGTCTCGTACTGTTTGATACAGCAAGCGAAGACTACTGGAATTACAAAGCCAAGGAGGTCTTGCTTGCAACTTCAAACGCTCCAGTTTACTTTGACACTCCAGTCAAAATTGGCGATGAATACTTTGTCGACGGAGGTATCGGTGGAAATTGTCCTTTAATAAAGGCGATTGGTCGAGCTATTAAAATTTTTGCAAGTGAAAATAATTCTGCAAGAATAGTTTCGGCTTTATCTATTGCACCTCCTCCCTCTTTGTGTCCAGAAGTTTCTAATAATGGTACTCTTTTAAGTTGGTTGCACTATTTTGTGAATCTATCCACCGATGCAAGTGCAGTGTTTGAAGATGTTGCGGCAAATAGTAATTGGAAGGATATTTTGTTTCAAAGATTGCTCCCTCGTGGTGAAATATTGATGGGTTTTAAATTCGACGAAGATGATACCCAAAAGATGATAGATGCAATGGAAAAAGTGAAGCTTGATAATGAATTGTTTCTCTTGGACGTGGTCGCCTCTGCAATGTTTGTCGTTCTTACGTTTCTTGAAAAAAAATTAGAAAGTCCCCATACCTCGCTGAGTGTTGCAGCACATCTTTCTAAAGCTGCAGGACGTGCCTACCAAAGCAGAAAAGATTACGATTCGGCAATTGTTTCTTACAAAGTAGGTCAACAACTACAAAGGAAAGTCAGCGATTCTTGTGCTGTGTTTAAGTTTCCTTTTGATATTGCAAAATGCCATAAAGAAAAAGGAGAATATCTGCAAGCTATCAGATTATTCGAAGCCAACATAAAGGACCTTGATGAGTATCGTGATGATTCAAAGTACGATCACTCAAGTTATGATGACCTGATTGTTGATAACTTGATTGAAAAATCTGGCTGTTACTTGCAAAATTTTCATTATCACGATGCTGAAAAGTGTCTGGAAAAAATTTCCGATGATAAGTTCGGATGTGAAAAGAAACGTATTCAAGTATTAATTAATAAAGCATATTGCAAGCAGAAACAAGGAAGTTTTGAGGAAGCTGTCAATCTTTACAACGAGTTGGATAAATTTACTTTGGATAACATTGAAAAGGCGGAAAAACTTAATAACATTGGATTAGCCTTCTTAGACGTTGGAATGAAGAACGACGCTCTTGTGTATGTTCGCCAAGCCCAAGATTTGAGGAAAAGTGAAGAAAAATGTAATCCTCATCTTGTCGCCGAATCCCATAATAATGTTGGGTTGTGTTTAGTTGAAAACGGCAATTATAGTGATGCTTTGGAAAGCTTAGAGGAAGCTAGAAGAATGGTCGTTGAGAAATGTATGGACCAAGATATGATTAAAATATCTCACGTATTTAAAAATTTAGCCAAATACTATTTTTTAAAAGATCCACCAAACTACGATGAAGCTTTAAAATACGCACAAAAAGCTTTGGAAAACAGAAAGAAGGAAGTCCTAAGATATGATAATCCAGGAATTGCTACGATCCGCTTGATTATGGGTAATTGTCAATTCAAAGTTGGAAAACCTGAAGAAGCAGAAAAAAATCTTTTAAAAGCTTCGAGTATTATCGAAAGCCTCCTATCAGAAAGTCATCCGCAGCTCGCTGAAATCTACGATGCTCTTTCCCAACTGTATGAAAAAAAAGGCGATCCAAAGCTAGCGAAAGAGTATGAAAAGAAAAAGACCATCATCTGTGATAAGCTCGGGAAAATACAGGAAACGATGAAGAAAATAACATGCAAATCATAAGTGTTGGCTGTATTTTTACTTTTATTTTTTGTTAATTTAGAGTCATTTGCATCCGCTATTCTGTGGAACACTAGATTTACGTTTTGAATGGAACTGAAATGAAAAATTTATCTCGATAACATCACGAATTTAACAGCTCTATTTTTTAATACAAATTTATGTATATTAATCAGTAGAGGTGTGCGCACAGTATCTAAAAGCGTCAATTAGTAGAACAGTCAATTTTTCCAACATCAAGGTTGTTCAAAAGTTTACTTCCTGTAAATAGCTGTCCAAATTTAGTAAATGCTCGTATCACTTACATAGTTAAGCTTCATATTCATGTAAAGGAAATCAATTATAGCTTGTTAGCAACTTTGTGTAGTCTTCTGTTGCATTTGTTCTTTTTATCTTATTTCCATCGTATAGGTGACGTATACTGAAATTTCTTATTTGAAGTAAATTATTGTATTTGAGTTCGAATCACAGATCATGATCTTAAATCGTGTATTATTTAATCCAATAACACAAAAATTCAAAAGATTAACGAATCTGAAAGCACAACGGACTATCAGAAGTCTGTACCTCAAACAAATATCGAGATATTTTTTAATTTGCTTTTCTAATGGGGTTAAAATTTGAAGTCATCGTAGTGTAAAAGTGCTATTTGTACGACATTTTACAATCTTTTTGAGACGAATTAAATTTTTTAAATGATCCTGACTCGTTCGAGAACGTCTGATGACTCATCATGACTGATCAATGCTATGGAAGCGGGTATGGATACCATTCATCCTATTGATGTTTAAGATATGATAGTTGTTACCAGTACAGGACGTCCCATCGCAATTTGTAATAACGCTGTGAGTTAGAAATTTCTAAAGAATATTTAGAGCTAAAGCACTCCCAATAGGATTTGCTCTATATAGTACTTTAAAATGAAAATGTATTTTCAGTAATGTTTTCTTACCAATACTGCGTCTAACAAACCAGGTTGTATCTTATTTTTTTCATCTCACTGGAGGAAAGCTACTCCCTACCACTCAATGGCAATTTATCCGTGGTAAAATCAAGCCTTTCAAAGTCAATTTTGCCACCAATGTTGGCAAGAATAAAAAAGGTTAAACATATCATGCGTATAAACAACATCTTGAGAGTCACTAAACTTTGTGCCATCTTGATTCAGTTGAAAGTTGTGTATGCAATGTGATTCATTATGCTAGATACTTGTGGTCTCTGTGAGCAAACTGCAAATATACAATTACCTGATTGCTGTAAATGTAGAAGAGGATATTCCAAACTGCTCTGCATTAGTTACGAATGACCCACACAATTAGAACCCAAATAGAAAGGCAAAAGTGCTATAACAAGTGTGCAAAACACCACCCGCTACTGACTTGTAATAGTGTTTGTGGTGTTGTAATGATTATGGCTCAATACTCTGTGACAAAATTGAAATGTTTGCCAATATTAGCACAACAAAAAACTCTTTGACGTAAGAAATTCCCCCATTTACGTTCCTAATCCAGCAAGATTCAGTAAACCCCAGAGACTTGATGTTAGTTTTTGGATTTAAAGTAATTCTTTCAACCAAACAGTTACCCCACAATTTTACCTAAGCATCAATCATCAGAGCAACACGAGTTTTTTGCACATGATAATAAAACTGAAATTAAAAATGACAATGACATTAAACCCACTGAAAAAGTGAATTTAATTCCTGATCCAAAAGTAAAAATACATTTTACAGTATAAACGTTAACAAAGAAGATAAGCCATACATAAACAAGAGCAATGACATTACACCCACAAAAAAAGTAAATTCGATTACTGATCTGACAATCAAAATTATCTGTATCAAGAAGTATTCATAAAGATGATCAGGCGGACATAAAGAAGGACAATGACACCGAAAAAGTGAGTGTAACTCGCTGAAAATCAAAAATAAAAACAAGCAAATGAAAGGAAATACCTGAAAAGTATTCCCTGTGCTATGTGGTTTGCTCCATATTGTCTGCACCCAAGAGGCGTATCAAAAAGCAGCATTCTGCTCAACATGTCTGCTCTTTTGCTGAACGAAATGGAATGAGGAAGAACACGTCATAATGTCAGCAGCGAAGTGTTGTGTTTGTCGCAGGAGACATGCAAAATTATAAGTTATTATATTCTAATTTACCTTGTAGTTTATACGTTGTATTACAGTTGACAGTAATGTTTCTGAGAGTTGTAACACAACAGAAAATTGCCCTTCATGAATTGAAATAACAAAAAACAGTGATGAAAGTACGATATTGCTGAGGTATGTCATTCTTATCAAGGATACAAAATATAGGTTGATCATACTTTGTTCACCTACTTCACAAAAAAGGATGTGATACCAAGACTTCGTTTCGGCCAGGTGATGCACGATTACATCCAAACGATTAAGCAAGGGTATGTTTCTTTTAGAAGAGATCACTGGCATGAGATTGTGTGATTATGGATCAACAGGCGGCTGACTTCGCTAGTCGTTATAGATAAATCTGGGGCAGGCATGCCTAATGCATGGGGATTTCAAACCATGAAGACTTTACACAAATGTGTGTGTATTATTTTAATGTGAGGAACCAGATCTCTTTGGTGAGATCTCGCTTTTCTGACCCTAATGTCTGATCCAGCATGTCAATTTTTCAATACCTAGTTCTGAGTGATGGGAGAAAGTTCAAAAAATTGTTTTGTGGAGCATGGCCAATGGACCTGAAAAGTAAGTTTAAATGCACTGTTCTGGCAGCAGATATTTAGAAAATGTAATGGACTCTATTGCAGCAAACAGAAGTCCTCGTGTGTCAGTAGCTACATGTTATACAAATGCACTTTTAGAGCATCTTCCAAAATTAAGTAAGGAATTCTACGACTATTTTTGCAGTGAAACGCTTGGACGAACTACGAGCTGGGGCTATTGTAATGCAAAGAAGATGAGAATAAACGCAAACATGCTGATATAGAAGCATAGGGAGGGAGCTTTAGCACAACAATCTTAAGAGGAGATCTTCAGAAGAGTAGCACTACAAAGGGTTTTCCAATGATGCATTTTTAGAAGATGGTGAGCTTAGACAAAAAAACACTATTGGAATATCTTATACAGTAATAAAGCAAGCAAGTACTGCATATTTTGTCCCTGACAGATAACATGTAAAGAATGCAAAAGTTGTTTCAACCGATTCTTGTGTAATTGTCAAGACAGTCTAGTGCACAGCACAATTTACAAACATGTCATATGCATATTTTACAACTGTACATAACTGCAATGAAAAATCAAACACAAGAGAAGACAGGAGACCTAAGAGTTCCTCACTATGTAAATTTAAATTATAAGGAGAAGGAAGTTGTTTTTTCAACAGAGATACAACACAATAGACAATCTAAACAGAACACTAAATAAAGGCTCTATGCAACAGCTTATAGTTCTGATGTGTGTGACAGCAATGAGGCTCGAAAAACTGTAAAAATAAAATGAACGGCTGCAAACATTCATTTCTATAAAAAGACAGAAATGTTTGTCGCAACTGAATCTGGACACAAGTTCACTTGCCAACAAAAGTCATAGACAAGCAGAATGGATACCAGTTTTCAACGAATAAAAAAAACAATGAATATAAGATTACATCTCTTAACTATTTCCAGCTAAGATGAAAGATAAGAAACCAACTTGTATATGTAGCTACCTTGTGAGGAAGTCTTTTGAAACCTGCATGAATCTGAAGTTAGGAAGAATTTGAAGTTTTTAGGGTCTCCCAGTTGGCGAGTTTAAAGCATTTTTTAAGATTGAGAGAACCCACCACCTGAGGCACTCTGCTACAGCCTCACTTACATTGATCTTTTCTTTGATCTAAATGTATGGAAAAAGAGTACAGCTAAGGTATATTTTTACCTGACATTCCAATGATAAAACATTGTAGTGAAAGCATTACAAAATGACTGGACATAGCACACATGCGAAACAACATGATCATGTTTGAGTTTAACTCCACCAAAAATTATTGTTAAATTTTGACAAATTTTTACGTATTCTATTTTTACCTTGTACAAGACTAGTGTGACATATTTCAACAGAAAACGTGTTGTAGCTCATCTTGGACTCGTCTTCCTATGAAATGTTCACTTCATACTCTATTTTTATTTATTTGAAAAATACAAATTTCGCTTCAGTACGAGCATTACCTTGGCGTTTTCTGAAATGCAGATGCATTTAACGTATTTTGGGAATTTGTAGTATAATTTACTTTCGGTAAAACGCTTTGATTTACGCCCGACGGATCCAGACTGTAATGATATTGAGTACTCGCTAAATTTCCTGGTAACGAGACAACAAACAGCGCTTTCAGTTGGGTTTTTGTTCTGTAAAAACCAGCATTTTGCTACACTGGCCAACAAGCTGTTTCAGAAAGCAAACTTGTGGTTAAATTTGACAGTCGATCAAACCCTAAAGAGAAATAAATTACGTGTAAGATCTTGTTAATATGTATGTCAATCAAACAAGAGCAGTGGCGTGTCTCGGGTGAGTGAAAATAAGTTACTCCAGCTCTTCTTGCATATATTTACATTTACAAACAACTTATTTGAAACTCTATGGCAAAATTTTCTTCTGTTGGAAATTCATTACAAATAGCAATGGTCTGAAGGTATAGTTTGACTTTTAAATTGAGCAGTTAGAAGTCATTTCGACCACATTGCTAGAGTTGCAACTCCCCAAGAGTTAAAAGTAAATACACAACCCTGAAGGGTTTAACAATTACTCAGGCCAATACTGAAAAAAATAAGTGCTCACGATGATTTTAAGTTTGTTGTACTTTGCAGTAATGCCAAATAAAATTTTCAGATTTTTAATTAAGTTTGGCATTTACTAATTTATGTTTTCGTGGTATAGCTTGTTTTTCCTGTCGGTCATGTTTAAGAAAAATCCATATTGTATCTAGAACTTCTTTTGATTTCATGATTTGCATCGGCCCTTTGAAGTAACCTATCAACATTACCGATTGACGTCATGAAATCACACCATACGAACGCAATGGCTAGACGGAATCTAATTATGATTACATCAATTATTATTGCATATTCTAAAAATCATTTAATTGCATCCCAATTAGCCCCAAAGTATTGTGTTTGGTGAGCGTGTGAAAAGAGTTAGAGTTATTTCAAGATATTTTGATGAAATAAGCAAAACGATATCATGAAATTTTGTTTCATGCTTCTCTGGCGCGGTGTGATGGCAGAAAAATGAAAAACATGCCCTGTTGCGTGTCGTAGTCGTGTGACGATTTTCATCGTACGAAATACATGTAGTTTATGCTTTCTTGGGACAAAAGCACAAACCAAAAATCATCCAGACCAGATATAGGCTATTG